ATTTATTTTTTCTTAAACCGAGAAGACAAGCAATGTGGGATGCTCAACACCCTTTTTAGGATAGGGTGGTTGGAATTTGTAACCAAGATGCTCTCATCAAATGATTATTGGCTAGCAAAATAGTTTAGTTCCCTGGCTGTGATTGGGACCAATTTTAAGTACAATCCCATTACTTCTAGCTGATAATGAAATGATATTTGCAGATTTTCATTGATGAGGTGGATGCGATAGCACCTAAGCGTGCAGATGGAAGTGACGAGCTTTCTCAAAGAATGGTAGCAACCTTGTTGAACTTGATGGATGGAATAAGCAGAACTGATGGGGTGCTTGCCATTGCAGCAACCAACAGGCCAGACAGTATTGAGCCTGCACTTAGACGGCCTGGAAGATTTGACCGAGAAATTGAAATAGGTTATTTACAATGCCTGTCCATTTCACTTTGTGTATGTTCGGAACCTCAAAAATTCTAGGGGAAAAAAATATAGTGTGGTTTGAAAGGATAAGATGTGAGGGAAATTTAAAAAAAATGTTCAACCTCAGTAAATTTATATTATATAAACACTGAGAAGTCTAAAAATATGTAGAAAGAATTAGAACACTAATCATATTTCATTTACCTTTACGTTTTCCTTGGCAAGACCAAACACAAAACTCTTGCCAATTTTTCCTTTCCATTGCATCTTCTGTGATCCAAACAAACCCATCCATCATATTTGCATTTACTCATCTGTCCTTGCTGTTTACAATGCTTTGTGCATGACTAATTAATGTATTTTACAGGAGTACCATCTCCAAGACAACGTTACGAGATATTAATGGTTTTACTTGGGGAGATGGAGCACTCGCTTTTGGACAAGGATATTCAACATCTTGCAACGGCCACTCATGGTTTTGTTGGCGCTGATCTAGCAGCTCTGTGCAATGAAGCAGCCCTTATTTGTCTCAGGAGGCATGTTAACTTAGAAATGTCATATGGCAATTCAAATCTCAAGACATCAATTCATCAACAAAATGGTTTCTCTTGTAGACATATAAATGTTCCCCTTTGCTTAGAAGAAAGTAAAGTCCAGACTATCAACGGTGCTATAATGGAGGGCTCATCCTTAATAACAGAACCATGCATTTCACAAGATATTCGAAATCTAACAGTGACAGTTGATGACTTTGAAAGTGCTAGATTCAAAGTAAGGCCAAGTGCCATGAGAGAGGTATGTTTCTCTCCGCTGTTTTGGGGATTTAAACATATAGTCGTATTTTTAATGCATAAACACACATTGGTACATAACTAGAGCTAGAGGTTTGCAGAGATTGTTGGATTAAATAGTTTACTATGAAGTGAGCTTTTTTTTTTACCCTTGAATGCAAATGCAAAGTCGGTATTCCTGTTCTGTAGTCTGCATGAATTTATTGTAACATGGCCGCTCTCGCTACCAGGTTATAATAGAGGTTCCTAAGGTCAAGTGGGAAGACGTTGGTGGACAGAGGGAGGTTAAGATGCAACTGATGGAAGCTGTAGAGTGGCCCCAAAAACACCAGGAAGCATTTAAACGGATTGGGACCCGCCCCCCAACTGGGGTTATGTTGTTTGGCCCCCCTGGATGTAGCAAAACACTCTTGGCTCGTGCTGTTGCTTCTGAAGCTGGACTAAATTTTCTTGCTGTGAAGGGACCCGAGCTTTTTAGCAAATGGGTTGGTGAGTCAGAAAAGGCTGTTAGAGCTCTGTTTGCTAAAGCAAGGGCGAATGCCCCCTCTATCATATTTTTTGATGAAATTGATGGTCTGGCTGTTGTCCGTGGGAAAGAGACTGATGGGGTTTCGGTTGCAGATCGAGTGATGAGCCAACTTCTTGTTGAAATGGATGGTAAGCAAAATTATTTCAAGTTTTTTTTCTTCTTTCATCAGTATAAACTTCGATGGAAAAGTATCCTATAGGCTTGTCACCTCTTGTTTTTTAGAACTTTTAGTGTAGTCTTTAAATATATAAATTTTATTTTTTTTAATTTTACACCTACAATGAAATAAATTGAATTGAAAATAAAGTCGGTCAAACCTTGTAAACAGAAACGGGAAGAACGTTTTAGGACGGAGGAAGTTTGTATTTTAATATTTTAATATATTTTTGTAGTGCAAAATGCAAGAGCTAGTACGAATTTAAATATTTTAAAAATAACGCTCATAACTCGTTGGGTCGACCCTAACCCGATGACACCGGGTCAAACATGTAGTTCTCATCCCGAACTTATTCAAACCCGAAGTGATCAAACCAAACCCAACCTAACCGACCAATTTGTTAGCTCTGTAAATGATTATTTTATATTTAATTGTTTAAAGAATAGATAATTCAGCCACAAATGCACCAACTTAAAAGCATTGCCATATGTGCTCTACATCCTTAATGTGAACAAACTAACTCAAAATAGGTAAATGAAAATTGTATTTTGTTGAAATGAGAATTCAGGAAAAATGTTTTCTGAACCAGGTTTGCACCAGAGAGTTAATGTTACTGTCATTGCTGCTACAAATCGACCAGACAAGATAGATCCTGCCCTTCTAAGACCAGGTGGTTACATAATCTTATTGCATCGTAGTCTGTCCTACGTATTCTCCTTGTATTGTTGTCGTTTTTCCAGAACCGACAACTTCTTTTTTGAAACTGGCATACTGGAATAATAACTAGAAAGCTACACATCAATTTGCTAGGCCGTTTTGATCGGCTCCTATACGTGGGTCCACCGGATGAAAATGACCGTGAGGATATATTCAACATTCATTTGCGCAAGACTCCATGTGGTTCTGATGTGTGCGTCAAAGAGCTTGCTCTTCTCACCAAAGGGTGTACAGGTGCCGATATATCCCTTATCTGCCGTGAAGCAGCCATGGCAGCCATTGAAGTAATTATGCTGCTGGACACAAATTTCATTATTGTGTACAAATGTATGTATTTGGAGAAGCTGATTATAGTGACAACCTTGTCTTTTCCTTCTTGATTTCAGGAGAACCTAGGGGCCTCAGAATTAACAATGGAGCACTTGAAGACTGGCATTCGTAGTGTGCAGCCATCAGAAGTTCTATCATACACGGAGTTATCGACTAAGTTTCAGAGACTCGTTCTCTCATCTACTCATTGAGATGATTTGATTCCCCCAACATGCTGAAATATATGAAGGCAAATACAAATTTGGTAAACAAAATCTATCCCTTTTCAAGTGTTTTAAGTCCATTTCAAACTCAAAAAATGCCTGGTAAGAAAAATATGGATGAGAGGAATATCTCAAAATAAAGAAAGTGCAGAGAAATAAAATATAGGATTAAACTCAATTAATTTGTATTTGATGTATGTGCAATTGAATTTTATTTATTTATTTATTAAACACTGATTTCCTCTGTTTTCTAAAGTCAGTTGGATTTAATTGTTGAGCTCCCCTTTTTTTGTACTAGTGCCATTCAAACAATAAGCAGGGCTTTCCTAACCCATCTATCTTTGAGCAGCTAGGGACTGGATTCTCTTCCCCTTGTTTGACATATCTCAACTACACAAGGTGTGTACTTATTTGGATAAGATCTAAGATTAATGTTCTTATGGGTGAGCTGGAAAGACTGATTTTGGATTGCACGAACTTGTGATTCATCCTTCAACCATTCACTGTGATCAACTAGTTCGGGTCCTTCACAGCAAGACATTCTGACAAGTTTTGAGCTAATTATGAGATTGCTTATAATTTAGTCATCAATGCCGCCAATGCTAATTATGGAGATTCTGATCAGTGGGTCGGAGGAGTTCATGCCACCTTCTATGGAGGACCTGGTGATCCCGATGACATCGGTAATTAATTTATCTTCTTCTATAATTATTACAGAGTAATTAATATAACTAGGGTAGGTGAAATGAAATTGTGAATTTGTAGCCATATACAATAGGTAAAGGTAACGAATGTTCACTCTCTTAAGATCGGTCTTTCGTCACGATCCTAAGGTATGTGAAATGTGGACCTCACACTTTTCATGACATGTGAATCTTTTATTTTTTTCAAAGAGCCTAATTCATCCATGATATTTGTATACTAGAGTCTATAAAATAAATGTGGAATATATGACCACAAAAGAATTTGTCTAATAATAAAAGTGTAAATTTTATAATTGATCCTTTATCACATATGATTTTCCATATTTAGTTCTCTATAATCAAATATTAAGTTTGTGGTCCTTTTATATGTACCTTTCCTCAAACGGTCCATTTTTGACTTTCTGTAATGTTGGTGTTAAATTAAAGGTTAAAAGTATAATTTCACATCGACTCTATGTCTAGTGACGTATTCTGATATCGGTTTGACGGACAAACACCAATAGTGATTATGACTGCGGACTGAGCTTCTTACCAGAGACATATTTGAAGATTACGGTTATAGTAAAAAGCAACTCTAGTTGACAAAGGACACATCAAAAGTGACATCTGACATTGGTTATGACATGAAATGTATATATGATCATTGTGAAATTATACATTTAGTTCTCAATTTAATCCAACATGATAGAATGTCAAAAAACATACTCCTAGTCCTAAAATGTTTCTTGTTTTGACTTTTTTTAGTCAAACAGTGACACTTTTTTACCACAAATTTTAATAAAAGTATATTTAATTATAATATAAATTCAATATAATTGGGTTCATCTTAGGATATAGTTTTGATATATCAAAATTTATATGATTTACTTATTTAGATTATGTTTAATTTATAGTCAAAGAGTGTCACTGTTTGACTAAAAAAAGTCAAAACATGATAAGTTTTTAGGACCGGAGGGAGTACTATTTATGGAAAAGATACCTCTAAAAGAAAGACCACAGACATAATATTGAATAATATATGACTAAATGAGGAAAATAATATATTATAAAAGACCAATTATATAATTTACTCGTAATAAAATGTGCATAGCATGATTTGTCCTGGTTTTGTTGTATTCCCAGTACTTACCTCAACATCTTCCTCATTTTAAATCTCGTGTCACAGGTAATTAAGGCTTAGATTGGCTAATATGCAAGCTCTGAATTCCGCTCTCCATTATTCAAGCTTCATGTTCCTAGTCCAAAACAAATACTACCGTAGCAGACATAAATATAATTTCTCAAAACATTGAAAAAGTCACATAAATATATCCTCGGGTATTTTTTACCTTAATTTTTGCTTGATGTCATGCATCTTTTCTGTTTTCGTTAGTCTTATTTTATCTGGCATTTTCTCAAAGCATTATATGGGTTATTATTTCATGTCTTTCGTTTTGTTAGTCTTCATGTCTAGTCGAGTCAAAATATAACAAAGTCTTATCTCACTAAGTGGGGTCGGTTATATGGATCAAACAAAGCCGTTGAGTCTAATGCATCATTTATGCGAAGATCTCTCTTGATCACTTGACAAGCTTTATCCAATTAATTTTGTTCTTGTTTTCTTTTTGGGACATACATTTATGCAACTTTATGATAATAGACAATTATTTTCCACAGCCAGCCTTCAATGTGGTATCATTAATCACAAACCCAAAACACATTAGAAGGTCAAAATCCAATATTTTCTCCCTCCCAATTTACTTTTACTTTTTTTTGGTTCCAAAATAAATACTCCGTGAACAATTTTTTATTCGGTTCGTTCGAAAGTAGAGGTCCATTTCCATTGTTGACAAGGAGAATGTTACCTTATTTTTCATGTTCAAACTAATTTAAATCACATATTTTTAATGTTATAGTAGTACTCTAGCTTTTTAAAAGCTCTCTCCGACCAACACATATTGATATTGTTAATTTGAAATAACCACAATTTTCTTCTTTTGAACTCATCTAAAGTTCAGTGAGGGATCAAAGGCAAGCAAATCTAATGGTGTGTGAACGTTCAGCATTAATTTACTTTGGTATATTCACCTTAAGTCATTTATTTTTTTCACCAAAAGCTCATGTTTTCATGTGAGTCGGGTCCCGAATTATAATTTTATAAATTTAAGTTTTATTACTTGATCCTATTTTTCGTTCTTTCAACTTTTCTTTTGGTCAGTAAGTATCTGCAACTATACCTCAGGTGTTGGAGATGAAGCAACGGGTTCGAGGTGGCCGGTCACAACGATTTCCATACCCCATAGCGTAATGTGTTAAATATGGCCCCTTGAAATTTCAATACATGGATTGTGTTCTAATTCCTAAGACAAAATAAATTAACTTCGGACGAATCATTTCTTGCTTAAATATACTTCGTATGAGAAATGATCTGTCATTTAGTTGTCGGTGCTAAAAAAGAAAAAGAAGAGAGAAATGATATTGGCACTCCAAATATTAGTATGAATAACAAGTAAAACATGAGTAGCTAGAATTTATTTAAATGTGAGATTTATTGTCGAGACTCAGCTATCTCACAATTTTTTTCATGCTTCTCTCTTTCATCTACCCTAAATTACGTTTTCACTATTTCTTTCTCAAAAATTTGTCCGCCTTTGACCTAAGAGTCCCTGGAAACAACTTACGAGTATATATATATACTTTGAAATAAGAATACAGTCTGACTACACACCATCTTCAAACGCTATTTTCATGAGATTTTATTAAATATTTTTGTTCTTTTTTTTTTAAAATCAAAGGCTTATTATTCTCTTTTATACAAATATTACCATTCACTTTACTATTCAATACCGTGGGTGAAATCTTTGTCCCCTTTGGAATCATAGTTCATACCTCCCCATGCGCAAATCTATACCCAAATAGCCATTGGACGTAGTAGGTACCAATGACTCTAACCTTTCTACACTTATGGCATAACTTGCCTCTATTTCATTCAGGTCAAATCTTAAAGTTCCTCTAGATATATATTACTGTTGGAAAAAATTATAGATTTTGATGATGATGTATTTAGATTGTAATAGGGCAATTACTTCAACATTACATCACCATTCATATTTGCATAACATATACAATAAGCATAATCACATCCAACATTACCAAACGTGATCAAACATAGGCCTAGCGCTGGGTGTAAGCACCCATGTTTATCGTCATACAACATATAAAGTCTCGGAATAAATCCTTGACGAAAACACAGACTTATAAACAGAGCATAAGTACTAGATGTTACCTAGTCCAGTACATGAGTACTGCTACGGTACGTTGGTAGATGATTCTAGTTACCAGCTCGTACAGAGTCTTCTAGTGCCAGATGGCCTGTGGCGGTAGCCAACTACCGTCCCAGCGGTAGGGTCTATCCTCTGTCCAGTAATTGGGTATCAAACAATCACAGGTTCTGCCAGCAAATATTGGCCTGTGGCAGTATCAAAGTACCAGTAGGCTGGTACCTCACTACCAATTCGATTTATCGGATGACATGTGGCAATAACTCTGTCTCGTGCAACAATTCGATTTACCAGCAACAACCAATACCAAACTAATATAATTCTTCACCAATATGTTCATAGATAGATTCCTAATAATGCCCAATATTACTACTCCCTCCGTCCCAATTTATTTGCAACACTTCGAACGACGTGTAAAATATCATCTCTTTTAAAATCACTTTAATTTCAAATTGATAGAGTAATAAAAAGTAAAAATTACATCATTCAAAAGTATATGAAAAGTTCTACAAAACAAGATGCGACGAGAATATTGTATTTTATCAAATGGTCAACCAAAACGAGTAAACAAACAAAAGTTATCGAGAAACCAGAATAGTAACCGTGACATTCTTTCTGGGACGGAGGGAGTATGATTGAAGACATCCCTATACATGCATTCTACCCAATAAAATCATTCATAATCCAAACGAGTTAACACATGTAAGTTTCACATAATCCAAGTCTAGAGTTTCGTTTGCATGATCTGATCTAATTTTAATGTGAATGCAGATATAATTAAAATTGTTTCTTATATGGTCTCATCTGATTATAATAAGAATAATAATGAGAAAAAAATAAATTAGAACCAAACGGGCCTTACTCTAAGTGTCTCAGTCCGCTCAACCGCCCCATCATCACTGGTTTCACCGATTCCTATTTCTTCCCGACAGCCCCGACGCAGTCTGAAGAAACTAACTCAAAACGGTTTCTCCGTGCTTCATAGTTCTGTACCATGGATAAGGTGGACTCAACTCGAGCATTCGTCAAGGACGTTAAGCGCATCGTCGTCAAGGTTACGTTTTTTTTGTTTCTTCTTAATGCCGCCGCATTTTTCGTTCAGATTGTCTGTCGTGAACAATTGAACGCGATTTAATCTAGAAGCTCTAGTTAACGAGATGCTTATTAGGCATATCATGTGAAACTTAAAAGTAAAAAAATTGACTTTTATAAGCAATCCCATGCCCGCTTTTATCTTTTATAGTAGTTGAATCCTGCTCAATTTGTGAAAAGAGAGCATGAAACTTGTAGATTATAGATTATAAGGGCAATATGGATTCACAATATTCAGATGCACATCAATTTGTCCATATGAAACTTGTAGTCTCATCCTCCACCCAAACTGTTTGTGTTTGATCAAGGCACAATTTTTTTATTTTAGAACAGTACAACTTTTAAAATTCACGGAGTTTTACTAATATTTTAGATGTTATTATTTTGGTAAATGCAATATAGTGTTCTGGTTTGTAATTCTTTCTGCCAAGCTTGGATGAAAATTAGCTCTGTTTTACGAAATATGACCTGGATCGCAATATATACCGTACAACTAGTTGTACTATATTTCCTGTACACCCGTGGTGAGTACTCATTTACAAAAAAAAACTTTATTTCATGTGAAGGTTGGGACTGCCGTTGTCACTAGAGCTGATGGAAGGCTAGCACTTGGAAGGCTTGGAGCACTATGCGAACAGGCAATTTATTCAACTGGATATTCTATATGCATTTGTTATGCTATTAATACTCTGTAATACTGGATTATTGGTTCTCAGCTATTAGTTTCAATTTTGTGCAGATTCAAGAGCTCAATTCTCAAAATTACGAAGTCATTTTAGTGACCTCAGGTGCTGTAGGTGCTGGTCGTCAACGGCTTAGATATAGGAAATTGGTTCACAGCAGGTTCTGAAATTCCTTTGCTCTCTCACTGTGTTATTACTGATCATTCTTGTAAGAGCATACACTTTATTTAAGATATGAGCCATAAGTTAGTAACGAGTTCATGTTTTTTTAAAAAAAAATTATTTATCAAAGCTCATGTTTTTACCTATAACATGAAGAGACTATTTTGATGCAGATAGGCCCATACATGAATCAAGGTTATGCAAATGCTTAGGGACTAGCATAAGTATTTGCATCAGGAAAAGGCCATTTGATTTAACATGTCTTTCAACTACACATTTGGATGAAAATATTCTGGGAGAGTCTAATGAATGATTATTTTGTTTAAAGTTACTTGCTTGGTCCTTGATCCGTATTTAATAATCTTGTTGATCACACAATGCAGTTTCGTAGATCTTCAAAAGCCGCAAGTTGAGCTAGATGGAAAGGCATGTGCAGCAGTTGGACAAAATGGCCTAATGGCTTTGTATGATTCTTTATTCAGTCAGGTGATAAATCAGTGGTTGTACAATTTTTATTGCTACTTTATGTATCACTATTTGCTAAAGATGATCTTTCTTGTACAAATAGCTGTTTTCTTACACTTTATTATTGCCTGCATGCAGTTGGATGTTACATCGGCTCAACTTCTTGTTACAGACAATGACTTCAGAGGCCCAAACTTCAGGATGCAGCTTAATGAGACAGTACATTCATTGTTGTCTTTGAAAGTTATACCTATATTTAATGAGAATGATGCTGTTAGTACACGGAAAGCTCCATATGAGGTATGCATCTAACTTTGCCTGGTTAAATTTCTAATTTGTATTTCTTGTGAAGAGGATTGATGAGGTTTAGCTGGCCAATGGTGCACAGGTCCGTTATCCCTTCATGCATGAGTGTTACATGCATGCATGCCTACACACATTGGCATGTTAATGAAGGTTTTAGAAGCCTCATTGGGATGTTCATGTTCAAGTATTCATCTAAGATCTTTTGATCTTTTGCGCTCATATATATATATATATATATGGAATATGGATGTGTCTACGACTTTATGTTGCAACTCTTCCTTTCCATTTTAAAAATAAACAAATTAATTTTGCAATTCTAGTTGATTCATTTCTCTTTTAAGCGTAGAATTGGAGAATCACTAATGCATTATGTTTTCCATGTTAAAAACAAACAAATTAAAATTTCAACTCTGGTGTATTTATTTCCCCTTTAAGCGTATAATTGGAGAATCAGTAATGCATTGTGTGAGACTGTAGGTTTTTGGAATACTTGGGGTTTCCTGCTTGTTTGGTAGATGTATTATAGGCTATAAAACATTTTATGACCTTTTTTTATTTTATTTATGTTCTTAAAAAAGTTCATTATCAATTGTAGGTTTGTAACTGTATCCTTTTCTTGTAGGACTCTTCTGGTATATTTTGGGACAATGACAGTCTAGCAGCTCTACTAGCATTGGAGCTAAAAGCCGATCTTCTTGTACTTTTAAGTGATGTAGAGGGTCTTTACAGTGGCCCTCCTACTGACCCTCACTCAAAATTGATTCATACATATATCAAAGAGAAACATGAAGGAGAAATAACTTTTGGTGACAAGTCTAGAGTGGGAAGAGGGGGCATGACTGCCAAAGTGAAAGCTGCAGTGTATGCAGCTTTTGCTGGAATCCCTGTTGTAATCACAAGGTCTATTCTCTTTTTCTTGTAAATTGTTCATACATGCGTGTGTAGAGGAAAATGGGGACAAGGTGGATTTTTAAGGGGCTTGATATAGGTAATTAATATGCAGGCGCAACAAAGCCACCAACATTTTACTTCTCATTCATTATTTGGCTTTCCTTTGCTATATTTGATCTACTTTTTTAAAGGTTAAATATTAGTTTATCAATTCTTTAAGATTTGATGTAAATCTCTTCATTGTATTTAGCTTGATAGGTTGTTGTAACTTCGCCCCGAATTCTACTCTTGTATTCTATACATACTGGTCTTATTGAGAAATAGCAATTCAAGCATTAACTCCTTCACACACTTATGTCAGGGTTGGCTGACTTCTCTTTTCTCAATGGATATAGTGGTTTTGCTGTAGACAACATTATCAAAGTACTACATGGAGAATGCATTGGTACTCTTTTTCATCGTGATGCTAACAAATTGCACTCGGCTGTAGATGTTGATGCATGCGAAATGGCAATTGCAGCCAAGGAATGTTCTAGGCGGCTTCAGGTATCTTCATTGTCTTGCATGTTCCTTAATCTGTAGTAGCTAAACATGGCTAACTATTCATGTATCCTATAGGCACTTGCTCCACAAGAAAGGAGACAAATTTTGTTGGATATAGCTGATGCACTCGAAGCAAATGAAAAAATGATACTAAGTGAGAATGATGCTGATGTATCTAATGCTCAGCAAGCTGGTTATGATAATTCACTGATATCTCGATTGGCACTAAAGCCAGGAATAGTATGCCATTTCTTGGCTATGTTATGATTTATTTTACAGTTGAGGATATTCTGGAGGCTTCTTTTTGTTTTTACTCAACGCCTTTACAGATCTCAAGTCTTGCAAAGTCAGTTCGTGTGCTTGCAGAGATGAATGAACCAATTGGTCGTGTTTTAAAGAAAACAGAGGCAAGTAACTCAAATTCTGTGTGTGTGTGTTTTTTCTGTAAAAAGCAAAAAACATGTATCTGATGTCCCAATAAAATTTCAACAATATAAGACCAGACCGTTATGACAGTTGTCTTTGAATTCAGATTGCTGATGGCTTCATTTTGGAGAAGACATCATCTCCATTGGGTGTTCTTTTGATTATCTTTGAGTCGCGTCCTGATGCACTTGTTCAGGTATATAAAGATAGGGCTATTTTTGTGTCCTGCTTTGTCATGGGCTTTTTTCGTTTAATTCGTTTTTCTGTTGAGTCTTCTTTGGTGTAACTATATTTACAGGGTTAAATTGTGAATTTAATCCTCTAACTTCATAGGGGGGATTTTCAGGACATTATCTTTAGGTGCTGGAACTTCAATCTTGTATCATTTACCGTTCTGAAAATTTGGTCATTTCATATTTCTAGATTTTTAGTCCACCGACTACTGGATCGGGTTAAAATGGCCAGATTTTGCGAATGGAGGATTTTTTTCAGCTATCAATGTCAAGTTGTAGGGAAACTCTACTCAAGCAGGAGTTGTTCATTAAATCTCACCAAAATGGGGAGAATTGAAGAGTTTCTTACACCTTTGTGAGGGGCAGCCTGATCTAGATGTTCAACTAAATAGTAAATACAACTTCCATCATTTATCCTTAAATATCATTATTTGATTCTTTATGTTTCTTCCATCTGGATTCCAATTTGATTTTGCATGTTGATCACATAAAATCATATGCTTGTTTATGTTTATGTCTCTGGCATATGGACTCCTCTCTCAATCCGGTTATTGTCGTTTTTTTAATCCGATGGCAAACCACAAAATTCAGTGGGGTAAAGGCCAGGGAAAGGGGGAGGACCAAACCAAAGCACCCGAAAGGCCGAAATTACACATGAAAGACGTAATGGAAAGAGGTAGCATCATATTTGAGAATGCCTACAAGACCAGGGATGTGCTGAGGAGTGATGATATTAGAATCGCCAACATGATCAAGAGCATAAGTTGGAAGACACTTAGACACCTGGCCGCTGCATTAGCCCGGGAGGAATATAGATAAAGTGCCAGTTTTTGTGGGCGACCCTATCGTAGATCTGCTGAGTGCCCTTTTGGATTGTATGTTCACCAGTCGAATCATCGCATTCCATCTACAGGGAGTATCAATATTCAATAAGGTAGTAGCTCATAAGCTTGGGGCGTCCCTCTGTGTTGCGAATAATGATACCCCCCATCAATGCCTTTATGGCCTCTTTGTTCCACCATAGCAATGTTTGCTTTACAATAAGAGATCTGCAGTAGGTAACACAAGTGGATACAGACTATAATGAGTTTTTTGGTCTTTCTGACCAGAATCCCTGCTAGTCCTTGTGTCCTATCAGCATCTAAGTTCGGCATGTGAGGTGACAGAAGATGTAGATCCCTGAAAATATCATTAATGATGGTATTAGGCATGTAAGATAAGTTATCAAATAATCGCCTTTTCCTAGTTTTCCAAATATGCCAAATAATATAAAGGGGGATAAGCCTGATAAAATCATTCTTCCTAAGTCTGGAAAGCTCAAAAAGATACTATAAGTAATCACTCAGAGACATCACAATGCTAGCTTTGGGGAAGGCAAATCTACTGTTAAAGAGGTCCCAAACGTGCTTAACAGTCTAAGGAACTGATGAGGGATGAAGTCGAAAGTGTGACATAAAGGGCATTTGAAAGGAACGTGAATCCCAGATTGAGTAAGTTGATTAGGGAAGGGGAGAAGGTTATTAAGAGAGCACCAGTTGAGAATAGAAATCCTCTTGGGGATCTCCTTACCCCAATGGGCCTGACAGTCAGTAGACTCCTCCATGTGTGTCCTAGAGAGGTGGTAGGCAGTGGCAGTTGAGAAGTGGCCAGAGGGGTTGGGAGTCCTGATCAGAATGTCCTTAGCGGTGGAGAAGGTCTGCTGGATAAGACTGAGCTCCCATTTAATTTAAGGAGGGAAAAGGGAAAGGACATCGCTAGAAAGCTTGTTATTGATAAAAGCCTCTCTAATTGTAAGGGGACTAATGAGCTGAGGGTCAACTGGTCAAGACTCGAGAGCCAAGTTCCTAAGGGTGCAAACACTGCTCCAAATAGAATAGAATCCCAAATAGATATACCCCCGCTGCTAATCGTATAGGAGAGGTTAGAGAGAAAAACATCCAGAATGTGTGAAAGGGTTGGTCAAAAACGTGAATGATGTCTGTGCTGATGGTGATTAATGTAGTTTGCCCAAATGCCTCTTCCCAAGACAAGTTTCCACCACATCTTAAGGTGGAAGGCATCTCGCACATGGATAATATTACGCACCCCAATATTGGTCTAGCTGAAAACATGAGATGAGTGCATAAGGGTATTCTTGGAAAGCCATAATTCCATTTCATTGTTTAAGTTATATCTACGGCTATTAAAAATTCCTGAGTCCCGTGTCACATGCATATTGCTGTTGAAGAACACATCTTCAATCCAAAGGACAAAGGTGTTGAAAAACTCAATTTTCATGAAGCTGGTTTTATAATTTTGGTGAGATTGGATGAATAACTCTTACTCGTCAAAGGGTGCCCATCCAATTTGATATGGATGGATGATAAATTGCATAAGTTTCTATCCATTTGTAGATTTCAGCCATTTAAAATTATTTCAACGGCGGATGGACTAAGAGTCCAATGCTTTAAAAAGGACTAAAATTTTGGAACTGTAAAAGATTTGAGACAGAAGTTCTAGTGGCAGCACCGAAAGATAATGTCTTTACGCTTGACCCTCCCCCCTTCCCCGTTAGTCCGTTACAGCACCAAAACTACAACTTCCCCTATATTTTTTTGGTTTGTGTGTAAATGAGTGTATTTATAAAAAGGGATGCAAGTGTGTGTGTGTGTGTGTGTGTATGTGTTGACTCTGGTTTATAGTGGAGCTAACCACCTTAGGAAATTTTTTCTTTAATTGTTCATATTTAAATAGATTGCTTCACTAGCAATACGAGCTGGGAATGGACTCTTACTGAAAGGTGGAAAAGAGGCCAAAAGATCAAATAAAATTTTGCACAAGGTTTTGCAAAGATGTATTTATATTTTTAGTTTTTCTTTCCTTATTGTATTCCTTTTTGAGGACCTTAGATTAACTAAAATATCTCGTCTGACATCTTTTCTTGTTTATTGTCAGGTTATTACCTCAGTGATACCAGACAAGGTTGGTGATAGACTTATTGGACTTCTTACTTCTAGAGAAGAGATCCCTGAATTGCTCAAGGTGCATTGACGTGAGCAATTGAATTGACTCATTTTTTTATTTTACGTGCTAGCATTTTAATGACCATAATGTGTCATAATTTGCCTTTAACTGTTTCATTTCTTATGCAGCTTGATTATGTAATTGATCTTGTTATCCCAAGAGGCAGCAATAAACTTGTTTCCCAAATCAAGGCTTCAACAAAAATCCCAGTTCTTGGTCATGCTGGTAATTTTGTACTTATTTTACTTTTCTGGATTATATGTCTATGTTATATCTTATATGCACTTGTGTGTGCTTTGTATGCTCTGTGCTTTTTCTGCTTTTATGTATCTTCTGTGCTCTTATATTATCTATGCTACTTGAGCTCGTAGTCTCTTGGAAACAGCCTCCCTAGGTAGGGGCAAAGTCTGCGTACACACACCCTCTGTTTTTGTTGTTATATCTTATATTCATGCTGAAAAAAAATCCAGGATTGAGTTGTGATCATTCAATAGACCATGAGACTCTTGGTTAAATCACACTAAAATTTTGAGCCCCATCAGTTATCAAGTTTTTTCAAGATCTTATCATTAACCTGTCGTTATGTTTTTAACATTACAGTGTGGGGCTCTAACAGTCCTAAAATAGACAGCCATGCCATTTTTAAACTAACTTGTTTGACCCTTGAAAATGATCTCCCCTCAAAATGACTCAAAATAAAAGGGCAAAACCTAAAAGACGATGGGGCCCCTATGACTAGACATCGAGACAAACAATTGGGTAAACAAAGTGGGTCAAAGGTTTGTCCGATACATTCATAAAATTCAATACTCGATTGGGGTCATTTGGTCATCCATTGGGGACCATCTTACACCCGGGTCATATTTGCACAAAAAGACTGTTCATCATGTCTTGTTCCAATCGACTGGCTAGGTGAATCTAAAATCTTATTAACTTATCATTCTCTCTTTATTATTGTTGTTGGGGCTATAAGACATGCTATTCTATATTGGTGAATCTTCTCATTGTTTTCTTGCAGATGGAATTTGTCATGTTTATGTTGATAAGTCTGCAAACTTGGATGTAGCAAAGCGCATTGTATTGGATGCAAAAATGGATTATCCCGCAGCATGCAATGCTATGGTAATGCTATCTTTAAAGTAAATGTTTCCAACCTTGCTGGTGCATCATTAACACATTTTGCTTTCATCATAGGAAACACTTCTCGTGCACCATGACTTGGTAAAGAATGGTGGTCTTAATGAACTAATCACAGAACTTCAGATAAAAGGTGCAGCATCTTTATGAAATTACATTTTTGCTAGATATGATAGTTTGACCGGCTATAGTATTTCATCAAGCCTCAAACTGTATCCAATTTTGTTGGTTTTCAGGTGTTACTATATTTGGAGGACCAGTGGCAAGCTCACTGTTAAATATTCCAGAGGCTACTTCGTTACATCATGAATATAGTTCTCTGGCTTGCACAGTGGAAATTGTTAATGATGTATGTACTGCAATTGATCATATACATCAGCATGGAAGGCATGACCCCTTCTCTATATATTCTTCTTTATGCTTTAGCAACACTTTCTTCAGAATATCACTCACTTTTTCAGCTCAGAGATCCAAGAAGTTATATCATTTTCTTTTTAGGGATGGAGTTGTGTGGTTTACATTAATTCATTCATTTCTAAATAATTACACTGCATTGTCATAGAGTTAATGGTATTAAAATAATACTTCATCCGTCCCATAAAAAGGTTTCACATTTCCTTTTTCATTTATTCCAATAGAAGGTTCTACTTTCCACTTTTGGAAAACAATTTGCAGTCCTTATAATTTCTCTCTACTCTGAATCACTTTCAACCATACAATTACACTTTTTAAATCACTTTGCCAATTTAAAGGTGGAACCTTTTCATGGGATTGAGGGAGTAATAATGAATATTGTATTTCTTTTGGTTCGAGCTAGGGTCTCTTGGAAACAGCCTCTCTACTTTCAATGTAGGGGTAAGGTCTGCATATATTCACCCTCTCTACTTTCCACGGAAACAGCCTCTTTACTGGGTTTGTTGCTGTTGTTCTAAATAAATCTCAACCATACAATTTCACTACCTAAAAATTCACGTATGAAGTAAATAGATATAAATTATTGGGACGGAAGGAATAATATCTATGGGTTTAAAATCATGGTTTAATAAAGCTTTTTTTTTTCTTTCAAAATGCTGTCAAAATCACAAGTCATAGTATTGGACCAAAAGTGTTAATTTGAAACAGGAAGTGTCTTGAGGGTTGAGAGCTTTGAGAGACTGTCTCATGCAAGTTTTTGTGCTTTTCTGCACAGTGCACACACTATAATTTGAGCTGCGCTTTAGTTAATATGAAAGGCTCACTTAAGGACCATGATTTTACTTGTATTGGCAGTGGACATACTGACTGCATTATCACTGAAGACAATGAAGTTGCCCAAGTATTTTTACACCATGTTGACAGGTTTTGCATTATGTTAGCCTTAAATTATGAGTTATTCTATTTGTACAGCTATAAGACTTGCACTGAATCACTGATTACCCCTCCTTTTTGTCCTTTGGAAAAGTTCATAGTAGATTTTTGCAACATATAAAGAAAAGTAGATAAAATGAAGAGTGAAAAGGTATAACAAATGTGGAAATTTATCATTAAATGAATGTGATTGATGAAATGCATTTAATGTGCTTATTTAATATGTTCATTTATTTCATTTAATGATAAATTTCCATTTTGGATTGCTTCACCAATGCCCTAAGGCAATGGTTATCAAAAACCGTCATATGAAAAAGCGTTTACCAAAAAAGGAAAGAGTCAAGTTGATTTTTAAACTGCCATTTGAGGAATAAGTGAATATTTTTTTACTAGGACATGGAGTCCTAAAATTTCCACAATGTACTCCTATTAGTTTTTCATACTGTATAGAGTTATAATTGGCTTTTTAACTAAAAGTTTTCTTCAGTGCTGCTGTTTTTCACAATGCAAGCACAAGATTTAGTGATGGCTTCCGCTTTGGGCTTGGTGCAGAGGTGGATATGTACTTTGTTGCTCACATATGTTACTTATCACATTTAAGCTGCGTGTTAGTAATACTCTGGTTAATTTGTGATAATTAACAGGTGGGGATAAGTACAAGTAAGATTCATGCCCGTGGTCCTGTAGGCGTTGAAGGACTGCTAACAACGCGATGGTATAATACATCTATATTCTCCCATCTGAAACAAGATTTCATCAATTTATTGAACCATTATTGTGTTTCATTTTACTTTACACAATCGTTGTTAAGAGCCTAATATCTTTAAAATTGCATTCACAAAAATATACCTGGACTTGGGCTGTAGGAAGACCTAGACTGTTGCCATGTGGCTAGACAAGGCTTGGGAGGATCAAACCAATGGGAGCATAAAGTAGATTAGGAAGTCTCAGTTAAGAAAAGAATGGAGGTGACCAAGGATAGCCTACTGCCTAGCAGGAATATTTTAGAGTAGAGCTTAGTTCTACTGAGATAGGCCAAATAGCAAAAACATGACCTTGAGGTTTAGATGCTTGAAATACTAACACTGTTAAGACGATCATAAAATCCGTTGCAACAGCATAAAACACACATTATAAATCCAGACATTTGAAATGATTTGGGTGAGTTTTATGGTGTTTTTGTTGTTTTAACTGGTCTTATTGTCATTTACATCTTTCTTGACGTACCTAATCCTATCAGCGTTTAAGATGTTTCCATACACAATTTCCATAGTCATTTGAGACTTTTCACTGTATCACTTTAGTCAGTTCAAAAACATAGCTTGAACAGTTTAAGGGTATGTTCCAGTAAAATCCAGGTATCAGGTTGGAATAAAAAATGTGGTTGAGAAGGTATATGTTTAGGTATGATACATTAATATATTCGAGCGCTTTATTTCTATAATAGCAAAACATTAAGCGTTTCCCTAAATAATAGTCCTATTCAATCCAAGAATCTTATATGCAGGGAAGGTAAACACATAATCAAAAACTACTACGGAGTATTAATTAAAAAAAACTACATGAGTCCTATCTAAGGAAAGCACCAGACTTTTAGTCTTATATCCAACAATTTTTACATATGCCCAGATCCTAATTGGTACCATTTCTTGCTGAACCAAACGGGCCCTAAGATCAATGGGAGTTCACTTGAAATCTTTGAAACTCTAGGACCATTTTAAGGATTAGATAGGTTTTTCTTTATGCAAATCACCTATTGTAAAATGTACATTAACAGATAATATTTTCTGTTCTTACAGACATCTGTTTGTGTTGGTTGCACAGACAAGAGACGTGTGGGAAAATAAAAATTATTGTCCATGTCTAGTGTACAAATTGACGTACACATAGGTGGTGTGGTGTACAAAAAAACATTAGTGTTTTGTACATAGTTGCATGTGCTGTGTAGGGATCATGCTTGGTGCACACTACCCCATTCTTTACACCTGACTGACAAAATTTCTGTGGGACAAAGAGAAAATGGTAGAGTCACAAACAAAACAACCACACTTGTTATTTGTAAACCTCACTAAAAGTTTGTGTGTTTTGAGGTTTTTTGTTTGTAACTCTAGCATTTCTCATGCGCTAATATTGTCATTAATATCATCAGATTTGTGTATGAAGTGAAAAAAAGATGCGGTGTAAGTACACATCCATTTCTGGTGTACAAATAGAGTAATCCATTTTTCTCTCCGTTCACATTTAACTGATCATTATGATAAATAAAAAGTTGAAAGAATCTAGACATGCGTCATGTCTACATTCATTCATTTTTTTCAATGTATCTAAAAAGTCATAAGGGAGCGGAGAGTGTTATATACTCTGTTGTAGTAGTAGTAGGTGGTTGGAGTTGTAAGAGTTTTGATGAACTAACAAAATTGGAATGATGTGTGGTCAGGATTGGAAGGGGAAAAGGCCACGTGGTGAATGGAGACAAAGATATTGTCTACACCCACAGAGACCTGAGTTAGGTTTGCAGCGGATAGCTCTGTCTTCTGGTGGTGAGATGCTTTGCCCAGTAGTTTTACAGTTGTGAAAACAGAATCTTTCGACTCTGGAACCGTCCCTACGGCCCTACTGCCCATTTTCAGGTCCTAACCCATTATATATAAACATCAAACCTTTTTTATTTTTATTTTTTTGAAAAGAAATATCAAACCAAATTAAGGAAACAAACATTATTTTGCTAAATAATTTGAGCGGCATGGGGTATTACATGCTAAATATTACCGACTGTATTAACTTTTTTTATTATTATTATTTTGTAACACAACTTTTTTTTATTTTTTATTGTTATTATCGAATAGCATGTTTATGTTTTTTTTTCTTCAAAAGTTTTGATTTCTCTTTTAACCATTGAAAAAAACTACCGTGGGTTTAGAATACTGTATTTTTTTCCAAACTTGTTTCTCAATCTAGCACTTTGGATGAAATTAGTAAAGCTTTTGGTATATTTTAGTCGGAAAGAAGTCTACATCCGTATAGGGGCATGTTAAGGGTACATTAAAATGGGATACCTATTTGTACACCAGGCAAACATAGAAATTTAGTGTCTGTGATCTACAGACACTATGTGTCCAAGATATTAAGTGTTGTGTTTGCTAGGTGTAAAATAGGATACTTCATTTTAGTGTAACCCTAGGTTTATTCATTAGTATATTATCGTCATTATCCTTGCCACGAATTTTCAAAAAAAAAAAAGAAAAAGAAAAAAGGATTGGTCAACCACCAAATTGGGTGGGGCAAGGCTCGGGGAACAATAGCTATATTTTATTCGTATAAATATAGGATAAAGTAGTAAGGGTAGGGGACATGACACAACACAGGTACTAGCCAAATCTTTACGATGCAGCATGAGTGGGGACGAATCTACTCAATAGTGCACACAAGGTGGCTCTAACTTATAAGCATATGCTCATTTCATTTCTTTTTTGATTGTCCACTTTTCTACTCTAATGTTCGATCAACAACATATTATTTTAGGATCTAATGTTTTAGATTGGAAAAATTAACTTTTACTTTTTTTTTTAAATTCTTTTCAATTTCTTCGAACAATTCAAAAATACTCCTTCCGTCCTACAAAAAAGTTCCCATTTTGAATAATATTTAGTTAAATATTTACATGATTTGACTACAAATTGTGAGAAAGATATATTGCATTATAAAATAAATTTAATATAATTGGATTCATCTTAGGATCTAGTTTTGATATCTCAAATTTTTTTAGCATTTCTTTATTTAGATTATATTTAATTTATGGTCAAAGCATGTAACTGTTTGACCAATTTATGGTCAAAATGGGAACTTTGCGGGACGGAGGGAGTAGTATTTATATATGACAATATGCCAAAATTATATGTCTAAGTTTATAAAATATTGCCTCAAATATAGATAATGATGAATTCTTTTTATCCAAAATTAAAGTTTTCTTACATATTTATTTGAGTGGCTTTTTAAACATTTTAATTCTTTTAACATTTTCCAACTCCTAATTTCTTTCAACATCAAACTCTGATAATCTAATTCAAAAGACTATGTCCTTAAGATATATTAGCACAAATTATTACAAATCATACATTAAAAGTATTTTTCAATATCCATAATTTGGTACTCCCTCCGTCCGCCTAAGATGTTCTCATTTTGACTTTTGGTGGTTTTTAAGGAGAGTTGAAAAAAGGTGAAAGTTTACCCTTAATGAAAAATGGGTGGAGTGTATTAAATGAGGTGGGTGATGTGTAATAAATAAAGTAAGTGGGGTAGTTGTGATATTTTATTTGTTAAAAAATGAAATGAGAAGATCTATTGTGGACAAAGAAAAAGGGCTATTGGGAAGATCTATGGAGGACAGAGGGAGTATTATTCTATTTTAATTCATTGTGTATTTTTATAAATAGTTAGTCAAACATTGAACGCGAAGCGAATCAAATAGTTAAAAAGAAATGGAGGGGATACACCAAAAGATTTAAAAAAAGACTTATGTTGTTTTTAAATAATTGGTTAAAAAAGGATGAGTTCCATTCTCTAAGGCTATGCGGTATGGTTATCGATGTTGCCACACTGGAAGAAGAAATGATGAGGAAGAGAGATGGGGAGGGGCGTAATTTCTGTTGTTGCTGCACAAATAAAAGACCGCAGGAAAAAAGAGATTAGAAGAACTGCAGGATGAGAGCCGTGGTCATTAGACCTGGCAAAACAGAATCGGAACCGATTATCCGAACCGAAATATCCGAAACCGAAACCGGAATGATCCGAAAAATGAAGATCCGATCTATAACCGAAAACCCGAAATCATCTGAATCGAACTGAAACCGAACTAAATAATTCATATCCGATTTAAATCCGAAACCGATTAGATCCGAAATCGATAATATTCGAACCGATTAAACCCGAAAACGATTATATCCGGACCCGATAATACCCGAAACCGATAAAATCCGAAACCGATTAGATCTAAAACCGATAATATCCGAACTCGATTAGAACTAAAATCGATAAATTCAGAACTATGTTTACCTTTCAATAAGCATATTATATTTTTAAATTTTTACTCTTATTCTAAGAGAAGAACCGATGCAATTGACTAATTGGTCAAAGCTTTAGTAGAATAAATTAATAAATAATACCAAGGTTTTTTGAATCAGTTCTTAAAAAATAATTGATGCAATTCACTAATTGTATAAGTCCGTTGTTATATTAACTGATGCTAGAGTGATTTTTTACCTATTTTGTAGCAGTGTTAGAATTGAGAAGCTATTAGAACTCCATTGTTTAGGGTAATGACATCCTTTTCATCCTTAGAACTCTCTTGCCTTCATTGATCATTTTATTCTTATGCTCTCTCGCCAGTTTTCAATATTAATGATTTGGGTTCTTCATCATTTCTTAATAGTGATATAATTACTCTCATAAGAGCAGGTTGGTGCAGTACAATGATCTCCCATGGAATATGAATTAATCTCTCAAACATTCAAGCGATGAAGGAAGAGGGTATACTTCATCGGTAGTACCCAAACTTTAGACGACTTTTCAAATTAGAACCTAAACTTCTGATCCTATCAACTATATATATATATATATATATATATATATATATATATATATATATATATATATATATATTAGTTCTGGTGAGAATGCAATCTTAGGAGAGAAATGAGAATGAATCTGGTGCTTTAGATTGTGAGATCTAAGGATCAAGATTTCATCAAAATTAGATGCACCAAAATGGTGCGAAAATGCATCACGTCGAAATGCACCATAAACCTTCGAAAATGCACTATCTCAAAATCTGAGCGCAGGATGCAATCTGAGCCGCACGATGCATCAGATCCGACGGCTAGATTTTATTCTCATTTCTCTCCACAAGGTGCATTCTCACGGGAACCAGCCCCTATATATATATATATATATATATATATATATATATATATATATATATATATATATATATATATATATATATATATAGGGGC